TGTGAGACAGCTTTTGTTCTTGTACATTTCCTAAAAATCTTAACACGATGTTGTAACCATTTGCTTTCTCTGTATGTTTAAACCTCAAATCTGACCACAAGTTTGTGTGTGGCTTTCAGGTCTGGTGACTGTTGCAGAATTAATTGGTTGCAAAGTTGAGGAGCTAAAGCTGCCATTGTCAACTCGAAAAATGAGAGTTGGCAATGATACTATTATCCAAAAGCTCACTTTATCACAGGTAAGGGAACGGAGTACGGGTTCCTTCTGCGCCTTTTGGCAAAGATATGCAGTGATAGTGCAAGTTGATTGAATATGGAAAAGTTGTTTCCCTTCAGTGCATTTCGAGTAACATTTGATGATGTTGGACTAGTTTGTCTTTTAGTTCTCAGAGAACTTGCTATAAGTTCCCTTTTGAGAGCATACCATCTCTCTTGCCAGGGAAAATCTGTTTGGCAACAACGGTGGTCATAGATGTAATTGGATAGTCTTCTGTCATTTGGTTCCTCCTGAATTCTTCCTCAACTTCCCTGCTTCCTTTTCTGATCCCGATCCATCCCTGCTTTACCTGTTGATTATTCTATTGACCAGCACACCACACAAGCAGTGTTAGCGGAACCTAAGTTTTCTTTTAGTCCGAGATATGACAATAGAATACAAGAAACAACCTTAGCTGCTGGAGTGAAATTATTTTGCTCAAGATGTCTTGGGCACGCTTCCATGAATTTGCATTGTTCATGTTGCACTTTGATGGATTCACCCATTTCTGTATATTTAAGACACGATCTTTGAGATTTCCTTCCGTTTTATTTATTTCTAACATGCACCGACTTTTCCCCCCAACTTTTCAGGCCATGGATACAAGAGATGCTTTGGCAAAGTCTATTTATGCTTGTCTCTTTGAATGGTTGGTTGAGCAAATTAATAAGTCTCTGGCTGTTGGGAAAAGGAGAACCGGAAGATCTATCAGCATCTTGGATATCTACGGATTTGAATCGTTTGAAGTATGTAAACTGATGCTTCTTGTCTTTTCCTTTTCATTTAGTCAATGTTCTTCTCATCTGTCTTTCGCTTATGCAGAGGAATAGCTTTGAGCAATTCTGCATTAATTATGCAAATGAGAGACTACAACAACACTTCAACCGACATCTATTCAAGTTAGAACAAGAGGTAGCTATAAGATCTGTGTTTGAACTTCCTCTCCTACTTGGGTTTGAACTTTTGTTGATTGTAGAATATTGGTGTTTGTTATAATGTGAAATGGGTGAGTTTATTCAATAGGATATCTCCAGCTACTCATATTCTGAAAATCCGTACATAGCACAGCAACCGTACTGATAAATGTTGTCAGTAAATTCACATAAGTTTAGATGTCTTACAAAGTTGGTTTTGCATCTTGGAAATTAGACTTCAAGGAATACTCGCTTAATCCTAATTCATAAAATTCCGCGCTTGTTTCCAGGAATATATCCAAGATGGCATTGATTGGACAAAGGTTGATTTTGAAGATAATCAGGACTGTCTCAATCTTTTTGAAAAGGTATGGAAAGGGTTGCTTGATAATATTTCAAGTTGGAAATATACTCGACAATATCAATGTAGTTAAGTGAAGAAAGGAGGAAATTGCTTAATGCGATTGAGGTTATCTTGATCAATTGATGATCAGGTGATACATATCTCAAACATGGAGTATAATTGATGATAAATCTTTTCATATTGAGTTGTTTTATCGAATGTCAAAATAGTTGGATGATTATAAAGAGAGTCCCGTGACTTTGGTCATGTATTCAATTTGACGTGACGATTTTATGTTTTTGTTTTTTTAGAAACCGTTGGGGCTGCTATCATTGTTAGATGAAGAATCCACTTTCCCAAATGGCACAGATTTGACTTTTGCCAATAAGCTTAAGCAGCATCTGCAATCTAATTCTTGTTTCAGAGGAGACCGAGGCAAAGCTTTTACAGTGTCCCATTATGCTGGGGAGGTATGATCAGTCATCTTCTTTACTAGTCAATGCATAATTGTACAATCTGTCTGGTGTCAAATGTTGCCAGGACACGATTTCTCTCGTTTCCTTTAATGTTGCACCCATATTCTTAGATGCTTATTCATTTTACTTGACAACATGTAGGTTACCTATGATACAACTGCATTTCTGGAGAAGAATAGGGACTTACTGCACATGGACTCCATTCAGCTTCTGTCTTCTTGCTCATGCCACCTTCCCCAGATATTTGCATCAAATATGCTAGCTCAGTCTGAAAAGTCTGTCGTTGGTCCTTTGCATAAAGCTGGCGGAGCAGATTCCCAAAAGCTGAGTGTAGCAACAAAATTCAAGGTACTTATTATGAGTATGCCCTTTGATATCATAGTATGATCACAAACTTGTGCATTCTTGGGTAGGCTAGCAGTGGTGGACTTACCCTTATTAGCTTATTTTTTTAGTCAATTTGGTGTCACTATGCGGTTGATTGCTAATGCTTGATAATGCACACATCCAAAAGGATGTGTCTCCTCTACTGATGCTCATCAGAGTATATTGCTAGATATGTTGCCACCCAAACATTGACACACTTGGTGGTTTGATAAATATTTTTCATGCCAATTTTTCTTGAGCTTGGGTTCTTTTATGTTCTAGGGTCAACTCTTTCAATTGATGAAACGCCTTGAAAGTACGACACCACATTTCATACGCTGCATAAAGCCAAACAACAATCAATCCCCTAGATCATACAACCAGGGGCTTGTATTACAACAGCTGAGATGCTGTGGAGTCTTGGAAGTTGTCAGAATATCCAGGTCTGGATTTCCCACTAGAATGACCCATCAGAAGTTTGCCAGAAGGTAATGAGAATCACTAGTATTATCTTCCCTCAGTGTTTCGAGACTTTTTATCTTGAGTATGATTTAGGAATATTTGTAAACAGGTACGGCTTCCTGCTACTGGAAAATACCAACTCGCAGGACCCACTCAGCGTTTCTGTGGCCATTCTTCACCAGTTTGGTATCTTACCTGAGATGTATCAAGTTGGCTACACAAAGTTATTCTTCCGGACCGGACAGGTGAAAATTTAAGCACCCTTTATATGGAATCATGTGAAGCTAACTTTGGCTTTGTGATTCCCACTATTAAAAAGATCTGAAAACCTATTATGCTCTGCACAGAGACATGAATTTAATATCTTCAGCATTCAAATTTTCTACAAATTCAAGCTTAGAAGTGATTATGATCTAGAATCTTCATAAAGTGCATAGCTCTGAACAATTTATAGTTTCTTTTCTGCATATGCTGGCCTTGCTCTGAAGCACCCTGCATTTGTTGATAGTATGGGTTGGTTTACATCTGCATAATTATGCAGATTGGGATGCTTGAAGATACAAGAAACCGCACCCTTCATGGCGTTTTACGTGTTCAAAGCTGCTTCAGGGGCCACCAAGCTCGCTGCTACCTGAGAGAGCTTAGGAGAGGAATATCCACTCTTCAGTCATGTAATGGTCTTCTCTTGTGTTGCAGTGTTTTACTTGCAAGGGGCTTTGTAACTTCTTTTGAAAAGGAATAACATTTTTTGTATCTCCCTACAGTTATTCGAGGGGCAAAGATCCGGAAGGAATACTCAGTCCTACGAGAAAGACATAGAGCTGCTGTTGTTATCCAAAGGCAGGCGAAGAGCATGATATGGAGGAATAAGTATAACAACATCCATCAAGCATCAATCTTGATACAATCTGGTAAAGCTTCATGAGTTTTCCTTGACTTAATTGAAGCACATTATGGTTCACATGTTATTCCTGCATAATAATCTGATCTTTTAATGTTCCTTTCACAGTTATTCGTGGTTGGTTGGTTAGACGTTGCTCGGGTGACGTTGGGCTATTACTGTCCAGGGTCAAGGTAGTCCACTTTTTCTTGTTATTCAACTCCGCTAGAACTCCTGGATCATATGTAAACATTAGATCAACGTTCATTCCCCTGCATTTTAGTCCTTTTTGTAACCGTTCTTTTAATTATGGGTTATTCAAACAGGGGAATGAGACAGAGGAAGTGCTGGTAAAAGCTTCATTCCTAGCCGAACTACAACGACGAGTGCTCAAGGCAGAGGCTGGCCAGAGACAGAAAGAAGAAGAGAACGACATCCTCCACCAGCGCATACAACAATACGAGAGCCGCTGGTCTGAATACGAACTGAAAATGAAGTCGATGGAGGAAGTGTGGCAGAAGCAGATGAGATCACTGCAATCATCCCTCTCGATCGCCAAAAAGAGTCTCGCCATCGATGATTCTGAGAGGAACTCCGATGCATCGGTCAATGCAAGCGATGAGAGGGACTCCGCTTGGGACAGTGGCAGCAACTACCGAAGCCAGGAGGGTGGTAATGGGCTCAGACCCATGAGCGCAGGGCTGAGCGTCATAAGCAGGCTGGCCGAGGAGTTCGAGCAGAGGAGTCAGGTGTTTGGGGACGACGCTAAGTTCTTGGTTGAGGTGAAATCAGGCCAGGTGGAAGCGAGCTTGAACCCTGACCGGGAGCTCCGGAGACTGAAGCAGATGTTTGAGAGTTGGAAGAAGGACTACAGTTCGAGGTTGAGGGAGACGAAGGTGATATTGAATAAGCTTGGGAGTGAAGATACTAGTGGTGGGGCGCTTGATAAAGCGAAGAAGAAATGGTGGGGAAGAAGGAACAGCACTAGGCATATTTGATTGATCGTTGCTCTCTGCTCAAGTAGTTTTGTATCAGCTGAAAGTACTGCAATGGCTGCTCGTGATTGTGATGCGGAGTAAGCGTGCTGTATTAGACTGGCTAAGTAATGTATTGACCACTTCAGAGAATCACTACTATCAGCTATGTATGTATATCATTATTTTTCCATCGTTGATAACAAGCACAAAAAATGTGTGTTTCTGAAGTTTTCCTGTAAATTCTTTCTATAATCATGCGTTATTATTGTTTATCGGTTCATATCTAAAGTGGTAAATTTTATCTAAGCACCATTAACATCAACCATCATTTTACAGTCATTAGTAATTTTTCGAATGTTTGAAACACAATTGGCTCGAAAGTAAGCTCCAAGCGAAGCACAAGTGAAATTCGATCATAGTGTTCGAACAATAGAGAAATTTACAGGAAATTATATAAGACACAAAAATGTTAATAAATTAAATATTGTGGTCTAGTATGAAAATAACAACGTAGAACCAACACCAGATGCACTGCAGTTTTCGTTTGCAGCATGAATTCACCCCCATCATCTGAACACAGCATTTTGCTATGTATGTAGTAACCCCTTGTACAAGTATACCTAGTTTAGAAACAAAAAATGAATTTGAGAGATAGGGAAGGGATCTTATTATCCTCTTGCCCTCCCTTCATTTAACATGTTAATCATAGATCAATCAAGAATGGTTGCAGCATCTAATCACACAATCGTCGATGAAGTGGGTGAGCTGACCAGTATACAATTTGGGGTCACTCCTGAAATGATCAACATGAGGCGTCGACACAAAGTTGCACGCCCTAACCTCGTGCCCAGCCTTCTTCTGCTTCTCTATGAACGATTCCACTGATCCAGCAGGGATCACTCTGTCGGCCGAGCTGTAAATGTATAGCTGTGGACACCTTGGTTGGTCCGAAGATAGCACGCTCAGTATATCAGAGAGTCTCCTGCAACAATCATACCAATTGCAGAACCAAGTTTAGTTTCTTGGTTAACAAACGCAGTGAAAAAAACTAGCTTAAGAAGTTTCGGACTCACTTGTTCACTGTAGGAAGATTCAGCACAACACCAAAGAACTTCTCCAGAACCACTTGCAGAGCTACTTCAGTTAGTGCAGGCTTTGGTGGCTGGTTGAGCGATTTTGCACTGCCAACTCTAAGCTCCACATTCGAAATAGCATGTCCTTTCGTAGCCACACTATTCTTCTTCAGAAATGCAGCACAGAATCCCGAAGCCCAGACCTAAAACACAGATGATGATGCAATCATCATTTGCTCATCAGAATCCTAAATGACAGAAGAACATAACATTCAATTTGTAAGCAGAGAGCAAGCATCTTCTTACCTGTGGGTCAGGAGCTGCAACTGGTGCAGAATCCACAACACATGCCTTAATCCTTTCCACTAAGCTAGGATCTTGCTCTCGAAACTTCTCCAATATAACTCCGTACGTCAACCATCCAGTATTACTGAAGGTGTGGAAAACCACGTTCTTCTTCCCTGGCTCATCGTCTAACCAATCGGCAAGATGGTTCACGAGCAGTTCCACATCCTGCTCAGCTTTGCCCCCGACCTGATAGCTGAGAACCTCAGCCATGGGGAAAGTGAATGTAATGGCATGGAATCCCATTGAGGTATACCACTCAGCATACTTCTTCAGATGCCTCTGCTTGGATCCCAACCATCCCAGCAAAACTACAACAGTCCTAGACTTCGCCGACGAGCAATCAGACGAGCCATTGACATAAATGGCATTAGGGTTTGGCAGGTGCCACCTGTACAGAACATCCGGGGTTGAAGAAGCCAGAGTGATCAGAGGCGCAGAATGCGTAGGTCCTTTTGCCAGCTGCGCGGAGTTGTACACATCAGCCAGGAGAGGCGAGCCAGCGACCGAAGAAGCTGCTGATGTGGCTGCATTGATGGGAGGTAACACTTGGGTGGACACATTGGCGAGGAGGTTGGCATTAGGGATTGGAACACGAATTCTGCTAACGAAGTTGAAATCAGCTAGCTTGGAGACGGATGCGCGAGAAGAAGCCCACGAGAAGCTGGAATCCGGAAGCAGTGAGGAATGAGATGCAGCAGAGGAATCGTGGGTTGGTTTCAGAGAAGGCAGTCTGTCGGAGATGTCGGTGGAAACAGATGCAACGGCGACGGCGGCTGCTGCTACTATCGGCCGCTGGAAGAATCCAGACAAGGAACCCATATTGGTGGAAGCCGAAAGCCGGCAACTTTCACAAGAAAACACCAATACCGGAGGAATCTGAGCGGTACCCAAAAGGGATCGAATGGAGGGTCTGCAAAGAAACAGGGGATGGAGATTTTTGTTGTCAACAATCGAGGAAACCGAATTAAGAAGGTTTCTGGAAAAAAGGATATTCGAATGGGGATATTGAATCTTTACCTGAGAAGGAAAAGGAAACGCGGCAAGGGCAAATCGGGCTGTCAATGTTAGACAGCCCGATTCAGAGGAAGCTTCGTAATTTGGGAGGCCAAGCGAATTGACCTCCCACCTCGCCGCCGCCGCCGTCGTCCTTCTTATTCAGCCGCGTTGCAGCAGCTCGTCGGCTTGACCTCTTCCTTCTACCCCGGTGGCCGGTGGTGGGACCCGCGGCTAGCCTGCAGATCGTCAAAGAAAAGCGCACGCTCGTCATTACTCATTATTAACCACAAACAAATTAAAAACAGAGCAATTAACATGAGGTTTAATATTTAATCAATCAATTTACGTGGTGGAGGACAAGAGATGAGAAACAATAAAGAATCGGCCGTGGCGTAAGAACCCTACGTAATTGAGAGCGACCCTGGACCTGGAGAGGGTTTCTTTCTCCAACGAATTGGGAGAAACGAGAGAGATCCCTTTCCAAAAACGTCGCTTCTGGGGAAGACAAGAAAGAAGAAGTAGCTTCCGACCCCAGGCAAAAAAGTTGGAAAGACGGTTTAGTCCCTCCCCAACCACATTCGTAACCGCTCTGCGTAAAGGATAAACCGAGGGAAAGGAGAATGCTTACTTCACCAGCGAAAAGAAAGAAGAAAACCCCACGACTCTGTTTCCAATTTCTGGAATCCATAACCAACCCGTAACTCCAAAACTTCATATCTCTTCAAATTGGCGAGAAAGTTTCAAACTTTTTTGAGAAGAAACAGGGGAGAGAGAGCTCACCAGGTACCACCAGAGGAGGAAGATCAGGATCCTTCGAGCTTCAAAATAGGGGAGGGGAAATGCAGCAAACGCAAAGCAATGAGGGTTGGGGAAGACGAAAGACTTATCGGCAGGCAAGAGCCAACAATTGTGGATTGAAAGGGAATGGAATAGGTCTCCTCGCCTTTTCAGAAGGCCTATCCCACACCTTCCCCTGTTTTTTATTCCCAAGAAATCAAAATAAAGACTGAATAGAATAAACGAGTTAGAGAGGAAAAGGGAAGAAGGGATCTAATTATATCCCACCGTAATATTCGGACCCCTCCCCTGTCCTCATACCAAGGCCGAAGAACAAATGAATTTTCCAGAGCCAAAATTAGAGAGAAGCCAAACAAGATTCTTTCGCCTCCACTCTCTGTAGATTTGACTTTTGTCTTTGAGTGACACAAAACAAAATTGATGTGTATGGGAACATACGGTTAAACAGGATTGGATTTGGATGGTACATTCCTTGCCCAGTTATCTCTCTCTTCTTCTAACCCAGTCAACCACAGCCACATATGTGAAATCATGGTCATGGGCAGAGGAAGATGTATTAAATAATCAAAGAGCTGCATTGCATTCCACACAGAAGACCATAACTGCAATGGAAAGGGCAGCAGAAGCAAATTCATAGAGACTAGAGAGACAAAAAATGATTTAGTATACACAGCTTTCTAAAAACCCTTTTATTTGCCTGAATCAATCTAGTATTACTCACCCAAAAACATACAATTTTTTACAAAATGCATGCTTGCATTGTAGTATTACACTGGTAGTAGTAACTTACTCATCCCCCTTCCAAGTTCATTTAATTCTCAGAAGCCAACCTCCCCAGCACTTCCTTCACTTGCTTCTCGACTCCCTTGCGTAAGTACGAATGAGGCAGGCGATCAACCACTTCCTTCCCAAACGAGAACACAAGGGCCTTCCTCGCCGTATTCAAGTCCACCCCTCGTGCCCTCATGTAGAACAGTTGCGCTTCTTCCAGGTCGCTGATCGCAGCTCCATGGGAGCACTTCACGTCGTCAGCGATGATTTGGAGGTTGGGTTTTACGTTCACTGTTGCCCGCGGCTCTAACAGCAGGCTCCTTGTCAATTGCCCTGCATCCGTCTGTTGTGCATACCTGCCAGCCAAAATGCAGACATGACATGAATAAGACTGAATGCAACGACTCAAATGGACACATCAAACATAGACACAAACTCAACTGAATTTGGACTTACCTGTTAACCCTCACATTCCCATCAAACACAGCTTGTCCCGACGAGTGAGCAATGATGCACTTGTGAAGCTGCCGAGAATAAGCTCTCGGATGGTCAAAGATCAGCCTACTGTGGAGATCCTGAGTTTGATCCCCTGCAGACAAATGAAAGGTCGAAACTTCTGTCTCTGTGTCGGGGCCTAACTGCTGAATGTGGAGATTGTGTCTGCTTAATTTGGCGCCACTGCTGGCCTCCACAAGCTCGTACCTGCTAGTTGATTCCTGCAATTGGGAGGGTCACCTTTCTAGTCAAATCTTGTTCATTCTCTGTTAAAGAATTGGCAGGTATGGTAAGAGACAGAAGCATAAAATGCATTAACTATCTTATTATAAGCATGGAAATGCATAATCGACCTTCAAAAAGAGATCACTTTATCTTAACCGTTATTGCTTGACTTCCAGCATTGGCTTAGTTTCCTCGTAAACATAGGCTAGTGCCATAATGGGGTAGGCTAAGCAATTCCCCACATTCAAGCGCTAACGATAGAAACACACAAATTGGCCAAGACACACCCACCATCTTTCGCTGCCTAGCATATGTTGGAGGATCTAAAATTTGAAGCTCAGCTAAGCAATAAATAAGGCTTCAATATTAGATGCTGAAGCCACTAATCAATTTTGAAAATTAAAAGCTGCTGGCTGCCTATATCATCAAGAAGAAAGCAACTTTCAGCTCAACATGCAATGATAGTGATTCTAAACCAAAGGTTAAGAAAATTAGCTCGGTGACAATTTGATCCTGATGCTTCCTATGCATAGCATTCATAGGATCATCAATAAGGTTAGTCAAACTGTGAGCTAATGAAAAGCTTCTCGAGAAGGCACACAAGAGAAAATGGTGAAGAACAAGTACTTCACCTGCTTCACTGAAGTCCACTTGATGTGTGCAGAGTTGAACGACTGATTCTGCACATAAGAGTGTTTAACCTGTGCACCTTTGCCAATGACCACCTCCAAAACTGAATTAGTCCAATAACACTTGTTTTCATTCCCCTCACTGCTCACAAACTCTTCTATGATCCCAATCTCTCCTCCATCTTCCACCACCACAACCACCCTAGGATTGGAGAGGGGCAAAACTTTAGACCCACTCTCTCTCGCTTCCACGGATAAATACTTTAAATGGATTGGAGTCTCTACTCTAACCCCTGCAGGAACATAAATAACAGCAACATCCGGTGCCCCCAGCCCATTGAGAGACCAAAACATATCACCCCATTGAAAATCACTAATGAAAGAAGAAAGCTTGTCTCGAATCCCAAGTGAAGAGTCACTCAATAAGCTGCCGACGAAAACTCCATCAGGCAAACTGGATGCATTGGGGATGGAATTCATCAGAAACCCATCAGCGATAAAGAGATGGGAGAAGTTGGTATCTTCAGACCCGATTGCCAACTTCCCAACGTGAGGAGGTTGAGTAACTGGAAGGATTTGGGCCTGCCTAATGAGTGAAGTATCCGTGAAGCGAAATGCCTCATCTCTGCGTGAAGGCCAAGGAGTAGAGAGTAGAGATTCAGACGAGGCGTCCCGGAGATTCTGGAGAGAAGTGAGTGGGGAAGGAGAGAGGGAGTCTTCAAGCGTCTCGGCTAATTGGAGCACAAAAGGGTCGGAGAAGCCGATTTGGGTAGCCGGAGCTGCGGCGAGGGAGACGCTGGTCCTGTATTTGGGCCGTGGTTGGCAGGCGAAGGAGGATTTTACAGATATCGGAGTGCGAAGAACTACTGGTGTACAAGCTAACGCAGACATTGGCACTTCCCCCCTGACAAACAATTCTCCCCCACCAGCGGATTGGCCGCAGTTCGATAGCTTCCTTGCTTGCTGTGGTGTTTCCCCGGCGAAGGACCTCGAAATTCCAACCTCCAGGAATACGATGGCTGGACGAATCCACCTGCAGCGGTCAAATAAGATTACCCCGATTCATTTCGTGGCTGCCGCCTGCCGCTTGGTGGTCATTGGTCAACAGTCAACACCTCAACAACCAAAGGATTTGCTGGCCCGTTTTGTGCTTTGACGATAGTTATGGGTGGATTGGGCTTCTCGAGTTTGAAGCCCTAAAGGGTTTCCAAAAAGGACCCATTAGCGGGTCCAACAAAGCATCATCAACAACAGCCCGAAAACAGAGCGTTGCTTGCTTCCATTTCACCCTTCGATTTCCTTTTTACTTCGCTTTGTCTGGTTGTTGGCGTCGATGTTTAGCTAATTCCCTCATTAAACCACAACTCTTCACTGGCAGAGGCTGACAGCTCACTCGCTCAGGGTTTCTGCCTGTTTCATCTTCCTAACGCAACCGCATTCGGGAAACTAAAGGAAACAGGGGAGGTAGAGAGAGAGAGAGAGAGAGAGAGAGAGAGAGAGAGAAGGAACGCCTTTCGGTTTCGGTGAGCTGAATATAATTGATTTCAGATTCTTTGAGGAGAGGAGCTGCTGAAAAATTTTCTCTCTCCTCCATCCATGGCGTCTTCTTCCTCTCCGACGAGCATAAACGAGGCGTTGACGGACGACGAGCTGCGGTCGATTCTGGGCAAGCTGGAGGATGACAAGGACAAGGAGATATTTGGGTTGGTGTGCAAAAGATGGCTGAGATTGCAGAGCACAGAGAGGAGGAAGCTTGCTGCTCGAGCTGGCCCTCACATGCTTCAGAAGATGGCCGCCAGATTCTCCAGGCTGCTTGAGCTGGACCTCTCTCAGTCCGTCTCCAGGTCATTTTACCCTGGCGTCACCGACTCCGATCTCGCAGTTATCGCCGATGGCTTCAAGTCCCTCCGACTCCTCAATCTGCACAACTGCAAAGGTAAAAAGAAAAACTCAGTTGTAAGTCAATTTAATCTACTCTTTCGATTTCCCCTATATATTTCCAGCTTCATTTCAGAAACAGAATCATGGGTATTGCTCTGTATTGGAGAAAGTCGAAGCCTTTATCTTTCCCTAGAGCTTGCAATTGTTTGGTTGCCGTTTCTGAAATCCTCTGTGTTCTGGGGGCAATGGTATGAAGAACAGGTATTACTGATCGTGGGGTGACGTCAATCGGGCAAGGGCTGCCTGCCCTACAATCATTGGACGTGTCCTATTGTAGGAAGCTAACGGACAAGGGGCTAACGGCAGTGGCCGAGGGCTGTCCCAATTTGAAAAGCCTCCATCTTGCTGGCTGCAGATTCATCACGGACGAAATCCTCAAATCACTCTCCACTTACTGCACCAATCTAGAGGAACTCGGCCTCCAAGGATGCTCCAACATAACAGATTCCGGACTTGAAGATCTCGTCGCAGGCTGCCGCAGAATCCAGTTCCTTGACATCAACAAATGCAGCAATGTTGGAGATTCAGGAATCTCCAGTGTTTCTAAAGCATGTTCTGCCTCCTTAAGGACACTAAAGTTGTTGGACTGTTACAAAGTAGGGGATGAGTCCATATTTTCATTGGCAAGACACTGTGTGAATCTCGAGACGCTTATAATTGGTGGCTGTCGTGACATCTCCGATGAGAGTATGAAGTCTTTGGCCAATTCGTGTGGCCGCAGCTTGAGGAATTTGAGGATGGACTGGTGTCTGAATGTGTCGGATTCTTCGCTGGGCTGTATACTCTCAGAGTGCAGGAAGCTGGAGGCATTAGATATCGGGTGCTGCGAAGTGATAACTGATGCTGCATTTGAAGGGTTTGGAATGGGGGATGAAAATGGAATGAAGCTCAAGGTTTTGAAGGTGAGTAACTGCCCGAAGATCACTGTGAGTGGAATAAGCTTGGTTTTGGGGAAATGTAGGTCCTTGGAGTATCTGGATGTGAGGTCATGCCCATTCGTGACTAAGTTGGAGTGCGACGAGGCTGGGTTGACGTTTCCCGAGTCTTGTAAAGTGAACTTCAACGGAAGCTTGAACGAACCTGATGTTCTCGTCTGAGATGACCAGCATGTTGGTCAATGTGTTATGTAAAATTTGGGAAGGGTGTTGTACAATACTGGAGATTGGTGGTTTTCATGTCATGATAAGTGTGTGCAGCATATGTGAATGCTGATTGTATCCTGTGTAGTTTATCTGTGGAAGGATTCTGAAACTTTCATATGTATTTACGGGTTCCATCATAATGGATATAAAGCTGGGGCTGACTTGATCTTCCAAAATGTCCAAGCTGGGGTTAAATAGACATGGCTAGCTGCATGAATTGTGACTGCCAAGCTTGATGGGATGATGGGGAAGATAAATTATGTGAGATCCATCTTTGGTGCTATTCCTTTCCTTCCAGCGGTATGTGGGCTGGAGTTTCTCTGGGGATCGTGATGCATTGACAAGTAACCAGCTGTGCGCATCTTCAAGGCATACTCGCTGTATAGGTTTGGTGTTGGTGTCCTGTACTTCTGCTGTGTGATGTTTACCTTTTCCAAGTTCATGCCACAACCACCTACTGCAATTGGGTTTCACTTGCAAGTGATGGTTTTGGCTTGGGCTTTTGGCATGTGTGAAACAAATTGGACTTGCTCTTGTTCTGCAAAATGTGACTGCAAAATAACACCTTTTGTGTTGAATGAACTAACCTTGGAAGTTGGAATAAACCCCAAGTTGGTTGGTCAAGTTGAATGTCGATGGAAGTAGACGTTAAGATTTCCTGTTCAGGAATTGGCAGTGTCTCAAGGATTCAGAAGATGCCGTTCAAATCAAACCGTGTTAACTAAATTCAATCAATATCCTTGCGTAAGGAATGTTAATCTAATTTACAGCTTAAACTCTCTTTACATTTTGTGGGCTCTAATCCCCTCACTTACTAATTAGATTTCAGTTGGCAGTTGCAGCAGCCATTTCTAGTTATGTCCTCTTCATTACATATCAACATGAGACCAAGACTGCTACTTGCTGTATATACCTTCAGCAACTGGCAAAATCATGTTGATGCAGTGGTAGTCATCCTACAGCTGGAAACAGCCTGCTCAACATACTTGAAAGCTTTCTTGTAATTCAAGAAACCCATGAACCAGAAATCGAATCCGTCCATGGTCACTATTTCCATATACTTCTGCGAGGGCTTCTTTGTGTTCTCACTCTGGTTGGCACCTTGTATCATCTCAAGTGGGATCACAACCTTGTAGTGAACCCGGATCGATTTGCCCTCGGGTGATGACAGCTGAATCGATCTCTCGCTGCAGAACGCAAGCTTGTGAGTTGAAATGAAGAGGAGTCCAGCAATTGGACCTGATGTAGTTGACAAATAGCACTGGCATGCCTTCAGCAGCCTCTCCCCTTCACTCACACTGAAGAACTGCCTGAACACTTTCTTCACACCGCCTACTTGCAGAATCCGCGCCCCCAAAGTTAACTTTCCTTTCAAGGTCTCGCTGATCTTGTTCCCAAGTTTCACTGTCACCATTAAAATTAAACACAGTAAGTACAAACCGTCCGAGGTACGTATACTCTAGGTACATGCTATATATTTGGAGTTTGGTCACTCTAAATCTGGTTTTGTCTCTAATGATGTTAGCATTAAGTAAATAAAGGAACTTACCATGTTCGCGGATTCCGTGTGCGAATTTGTCAGCCTTCTTCCCCAGCTTATTCATCCTTTTGAGCATGGAATCTGATCTGTCTGCAATAGTATTTGCAACCATACATTTAGCAACCACTCACAACAATCAAACAATTAAGAAACAAGCTTTTCCCATTCAATAGATTGATGGGTTTATGATGATGGTTAGCCAATTACTTTGTTTGAGCATGAGAGATTGGTGAGCTGGAGTAGGCATGTAGCGGTTAGGCACATCTTCGAGCAGCAGTAAGGGCCTCGGGGCCATTCTTGCAGCAGTTGATGCTGATGATGAGGTGATTGGGAACCCCGTAACTTGTCCCTGATGGAGATATGATGCCTTCATTTTTGTGGGATGAGGGTTTCGAACTGAAGCTTTCTTCTTCTATCTGTTGATGATGAGAGGATTGTGTTGGAGGAAGAAGAATGAAGGAGGAGGGAAGATATATAAAGGGAGGGAAGAAGGAATGATATCAGCTCTAGCTTTCAGACTTTACAGTCAGCAATGAATCACTGACTCAGAAAGTTGGATTTCTTGGCTCTAATCACGTAATTGCTGACCAAGCTAGCTATTGTTTTTCTAAGATAAGGCTGTGAGAAAGAGGGAGTAGGTCCTAGAAAAGTCGGCATCCACCTCATACAGCACTATTGGTATGTCCACAAATGAAATATCTGTTAAACTAACTGTCATTTTTGTTTCATGTTTTAAAAAGAACAGTTAGGTGACTATATGCTGTGGCTGGATTTCATTCTCAATTCCAGTTAGCCGAATTTAAACAGAAATGAAATGGAAGTGTTCATAAGGTTGTATTTGCCTTCAACTCTTGTTCATCCATGGCAATTTATAGAGAGGCATTATTCATAGTCAAGGGGCTTTTCTGTCAAATTGGGAGGTGAGACCATTATTCAGATGGATTTCAGAGTTTTACTTCAAGCATCTAGAAGGAAACTAGATTATTCATCCAAAAAAAAAAAAAAAAACTAGATTGTGAACTTCTGTAACAAGACAATGTGTCTTGCTTCTGGAAATAAAGCTTAGGGTAATACGAGTTAGATCTCTCTCTAGCATTGATTTGTGATTTTCAGAAGGTGATTAGGAACTTGGATTTACAAGTTTCATGCTTCTCTCATCGACAGATTGGATTTATCACGTCATTGAGGTCATCATGCAAGATTGTCATTTATTCATCCATCTTGAACTGGAATTGTCTATATATCTCATACCCTTGGAGAATGAGTTCGGGTAGATGATTCACCAGTTGAATGAAAACATAGTTGTGCAAAATGCGAGTGACATTATGTGAGCCTACCCTCCATTTGATGTAGAAACGTTAATTTATACCATGTCTTGATATTCATAATAGACTCTTTATATTTGTTGTTTTCCGTTTCAAATGTACCAAAAACCCTGTAGTTCGATTTCCAACAATTTGAACAAATACTATAAGATGTAGCCACAACATAAGATGAGAAAAACCTCTTTGTTGTCGTTGAATCAAACCGTGTTGGCTTAATTCGATCATCGTCCCCGCGCAAGGGATGTTAAATCTAATTTACAGCTTAAACTCTTTACATTTGTGGGCTCTAATCCCCTCACTAACTATGTCCTCTTCAGTCTTCATTGCATATCAACATGAAACAAAGTCTACACTAAGCTTCAACGAGTGGAGAAATCACGTTGAAGTAGCAGTCATAGCCTGCTCAACACACTTGAAAGCTTTCTTGTAACTCAAGAAACCCATGAACCAGAAATCAAACCCGTCCACCGTCACCACCTCCATATACTTCTGCGACGGCTTCTTCGCATTCTCGCTTTGGTTGACCCGCTCTATCTTCTCCAATGGGATAACAACCTTGTAGTGAACCCGGATCGATTTCCCCTCTGGCGACGACAGCTGAATCGATCTCTCGCTGCAGAAGGCGAGCTTGTGCGTTGAAATGAACAAGAGTCCAGCAATTGGACCTGATGTTGTCGACAAATAGCACTGGCATGCCTTCAATAGCCTTTCCCCTTCACTCACACTGAAGAATTGCCTGAAAACTTTCTTCACACCACCTACTTGCAGAATCCGCGCCCCCAAGGTTAACTTGCCTTTCAAGGTCTCGCTGATCTTGTTCCCAAGTTTCACTGCAACCATTGAAATTAAGTACATTAAGCACAACACAGTCTGTGGCAGCCTGGCAGGCCCTATTTGGTAACTATATATCCTGGTTTCGAAGCTAATGATGTTTGATTAGGATTAAGGAAATTACCATGTTCGCGGATTCCATGTGCGAATTTGTCAGCCTTCTTCCCCAGCTTGTTCATCCTTTTGAGCATGGAATCTACTCTGTCTGCAATAATAGTATTTGCAACCATACATTTAGTGACAACTCATACAGATCAAGAAATCAAGAAACAAGCTTTTCCCCTCTTTTTTGTGATGGAAATGTGTTTATGATGGTGAGTTAATTACTTTGTTTGAGCATGAGAGATTGATGAGCTGGAGTTGGCATGTAACGGTGAGGCGCATCTTCAAGAAGTAAAGGCCTAGGAGCCATTCTTGCAGCAGTTGATGCTGATGAAGATGAGGTGATTGGGAGCCCCATAACTTGTCCCTGCTGCAGATATGATGCCTTCATTTTTGCTGGTTTGGAGCTGAACTTAGCTTGCTTCTTCTTCTTCTTCTTTCTGTATTTTGATGGTGATGAGGATCAGTTTGTGCTGGTGGAAGAAGGATGAAGGAGGGAGGAGATATATAAAGGGAGGGAAGAAGGTGATGACATCAGCTCTTGCTTTCAGACTTTACAGTCAGCAATGAATCATTGACAAGAACCAACATGGGGGGAGAAGGGCATATAGACACTGACTCAGAAAGTTGAGTTTTTTTTTCTTTTGGCTCTCATCACGTAATTGCTGACCAATCTATCTATTGTTTTTCTAAGATAAGATTGAGGACAAAGAGGGAGTAGGTCCACCATCGTCGACATCCATCTCATACATCACTATTGGTATGTCCAGAAATATTGAATCTGTTAGAGCTAACTGCCATGTTGTTTGCCATTTAAAAAACATCAGTTAGGTGAGTTACATATTGAGGCTGGATTTGATTCTCAAAAAAATTCCAATTGGCTTAAGTTAAACCAAAATGAAATATAAGTGTTCTTAAGGATGCCTCTTTGTTCCTCTCTTTTTGGTCTGCGATAATTGGAGTTGTTGGCAGAGATGCATGTATAGATCTTAATCACTTACGAACACTCAAATGAACCAATTCATATATGGGTTTGACGTTCGCACATGTCCGAATTTCATGTGCTTAACAAATGAGATCTACGAAATTCGAACAAAATACATCTCAATCACACAAGACTCTAATACCATACCAAGAACCCGTTGATCCACTCACAATAGCTAATATTATTCAGAGAGGTTCATATGAATTTCATCTTCTTCTTCTGTGTGTCTATGATGGTTGAATTCACTGTAACTTATTATCCATCCCTTGGTAGGTAGGTTGGTTGGTTGGGGCGGTTTCTACTTTTGCTTTTGTTTGATTAAAAGTTTTTCCCTGAGCTGGCTTCTTAGCTTTCTGATGCAAGCAAAGCAGGCACAAATCTCCTCCTGCTCCTCCATTCTCTTTTGTTTTTTTTCAAAAAATTCTGATCCCTTAATGAGAAAGCAAAGGGCATAACACCCTTTTGAGGAGCTGAATCAATCTAGTGGGCAGGTGGTCGGTCTGGTCATTTTTGTATCTCCCAGAAAATGGGTTTGTGTAGATTAAGGTGGTAACATGCAAGCCAGACTGCCAGTTTTAGGTAGTAGATAGATTGCATCCAACTGCACAAAACCGACCAACACCTGCAATTCCAATTGCATTGGACACCATATATGATATGCAGCCACTCATCCCAGCACTGCATGTGGGCTGTGGGATGCTGCTTATCAGCTTTCCTTGTCATCATAGGCAAGGCTGAGGTGTTACTGACTGGACTCTAGCTCCTTTTCTCACCTTCCTCAGTTAAACATTAAATAATGTTCTGTTCTGGATGGTCCTCCAAGAACCTAAACAAAGACTGGTCTGGTCTTGGGTTGGCTTTGGATATTGACTTTCATCATGTTATGTTTGTTTGCTGTCCTTCTCATATCCGCATCATCACCATCTTAATTATCCTTTTGCACGTTTCATTAAAGAATTCTTTTTCCCCAGAGGAACATTAAATAAGATGACTGTTAAGAAGTAAAAAAAAACCAGCTGACTGTGCTTCTAAGTTGCTTTTGGGTCTGACTGCAAGTAAATGTGAATGGGATTCATTTGGTGGTGGTGCTCCTTTTCTTCATTAACACAAAGCTATCTGTATTATATACTCCTTATTGACTTTTGCTGGTGATAGCAGCTCTTACTTATCAAGTTTAGAAATATATAATGATGATCATGGTGTGGGCAAGGATAGAGATTAGAGAGAGACTGATGCCAAACAAGCTAAGCAACAGCAATGATCATTGCTGTATATAAGTCAGTCTCGGCACTGGTTTTCTGCCTTTTGGATGACTAGGAAATGAGATTGTAACTCAGGTGACTGAAATAAGCAGTGGTCGATCATTAGAATTTGAGATAAACGAGAACTAGGGAAGTGTTTTAAGTTCATTGGGGAATTCCATTCTGCTGTAGCATGGCTTACTGTAGTCATGCATCAAAAAGTTGTCTACTTGCTTAATGCAGAAAGTAAGCAGTAGAAGAAGAATCAGTGGCAAGAAGACCAGTGGGGATCAGATAACTCTTCCAAGATTTTCCATTGAGTTCGAGAGGATCGATAATGAAAATAGCTACACAATAATTTCCTACAATAAATGTTGATTACTTCTCCTTTCTTTCTTCCTTCATATTCACATTAATCACTCTCCACCTAGCTTACTGTAACTAGTATCCGAATCGCTGGTTCATCGAGATGGCCTGTTCAAGGTGTTTGAGAGCTTTCTGATGATTCAGGAACCCCATGAACCAGAAATCAAAATTGTCCACAGTCACCACTTCCACATACTTCTGAGAAGGTCTCTTTGCATTCTCACTCTCTCTGATTCTTTCAATCTTGCTGAGTGGGATCAACACCTGCAGAAGCATAATCAGAGCAAAATAGGTAAGACACTTTTTAGCAATCAATAATGGAATAAGCAGATGGTTTATAGTCAGGTTATGATGTAAACAATTCAAGTATAGCTATATACCTTGTATCGTACTCTGATCGATTCCCCATTTGGTGACGAGAACTTGATTGATCTCTCGCTGCAGAAGGCGAGCTTGCAGCTCGAGATGAACAAGAGGCCTGCAATTGGACCAGCTGTGGTAGAAAGGTAGCATTGTGATGCCTTCAACAACTTCTCATCCACATCAACACTGAACAACTGCCTGAAAATTCTCTCCACTCCTCCACCTTGAAGAATCTTAGCCCCCAAGCTCAACTTCCCTTTCACTGTCTCACTGATCTTGGGTCCCAATCTCACTGCAAATTTATCAAAATCAATGCTTTGAACTTGAGGTAATGAAAGCTCAATCCAATTCAATATCTTTTGTGGTTCTTTAATCTTTATGGGTATCTTACCATGCTCCTTAACACTGTTGGCAAAGGTGTCAGCTTTCTTTCCCAAACTGTTGATCCTTGTGAGCATCCCTTCTCTCCTTCTGCCATGCCCTTGCTTCAAAGGCTGAGAATCCATGGCAGTACAAGGTCTGTTATTGGGGAATTGTGCCTGATCGGCTGTTGCAGGTAAGTATCCTGCTGCAGAATGTGGCTTCTTGACAATGTGCGAAAGCGAGCTGACACGAATTCCAACACCGAGCTGAAATGGGTTCTTCATCTTGCTTGGGGATTACAAATGCAGTGGCTAGCTATATGGTTTGATTGAGTTGGGGAGCACTGCTGCAGATGAAATTCAAAGGAGATGGCTATATATACATCCCATGTTACAATGTGAATGGAGGAGGTCCAAGAGGTTAAGTAAGACACAAGGAGTGGAGTTGAATCATGTATAGCTCAGCAACAGTGGGAATAAAGGCAGAATAATAGAGAAGTCTGCATCATGCATGGCAGCATGGAATCAAAAGAAGGATGGAAATTAAAAGGAGAATGATGCTGATGATCTGCCTCACACGGTTTGGTCTCTTTAAGCAAAAGGTGATGCCATGAGGAGGTCCTGTTTACTGTTAGAAAAGGGCATAAAGTAGGCTTTTCTATGTTGCTGCAAACTGTAAAATGTTGAGATAAGGAAATTGGGTGGAGCTCAAATGATAAGATGCTGGTACTTTTTGGAGCCTTCTTCCTACACTCCAACATCATTTACTGCCTACTGGAAATGTACCACTGCAGATTGGACTATTATGCTGGCAAACATTCAATAAGTACTGATATTATTGAATCGTTAAGTGATAGCGGTTTCGTGAAGCAATACCGACACTTTCGATCTGACTACTAAAAACGTTCAGAAGTAGTCAAATAACGTCAACACGCGCTGAACATCGTGGATCGCTCGCTACTACGGAGAGAATGAAACAGTTAAAAGTACAAGACCATCATCCAAAGGTAAGTAAGCCAAAGGTGGTGGACACAAAAGAAAAAGAAGGGACTGGAAAGTCCCAGGTGGTGGGGGTGGAATGGGATCGATGCTCTATGGTTTCTTTTTCTTCTTCCTTTCTTTCTTTCTTTCTTGGCTTTGGGGTTAGAGCTGGCAACTTTACTTTCTGATGCAAACAATACCCCATCAAGAGAGGAAAAAGCTACTCAAGATAACAAATAAAAAATGAACCTACCTAGATTGCATATGCATGATCATGCAACACGGCCTTGACGGCAGAGCATTGGGATTGTTTCAATTAAGTTGGCAGTTTGTGTGCTAAGATCTCCTTCCTGTATTTGTCGCACTGAAATCAAGTCGTGAATTCGCGCGAACCAGAAAGAAACGACCTACTTGCAGAGAGTTGATCGATCGAAGCAACCCAATCTGCTTTCCTACTGTGTTTAAGTGGCTGGTCCAGACAGAATGATGACCTTTTGGTTACTACTCTGTATTTCAGTCTTTGAACCTACTCTGTATTTCCATAGTGCAGTAGCGGAAGTCGGCAGGAAGAGCAGACGGTTTCAAATGTCAAAACAGAGCAATGTACTGTCATGTCATGAGTTGCGAGAGGCAAAAAAAGGGGTTGCATTATTAGATGAAGATGAGACGAGATGAGGTTTGACTGACTGGAACCCAGCAAGCAGACATAGGAATCCCCAAATCAAAAGGCGTAGTCTTCTTATTTTACTCTTTTTGCTTGATTTCAGAGACCTGTAGGCCATGGATGATGACCGAGGTGACAGAGGAAGCCGAGTTAAAAGAGAGGGAAAAGGGCAATCGGAGGCGTTGGCTTAACGGGAAAGGAAAGTGCGATAAAAAGCAAAGCAAATTGAAAAGGAGGGCTAATAAGTTTCCACATCAGCAGCTGCTGCCGCCATTCCTCATGCAGAGTAACCTGCCGCTGGTGGATGGCATATGGGAAGGAGAAAGGGTTGTTGTTGTTGGGGTTTGGCTTTTCTGGTTTGCGTCGTTGGCAACCTTTTTCACGGTTGGTTGGGGGAGAAGAAATCAAAGCCAAAGGGGAATCAGAATGGGGTCTTGGACTCTTTGCTTTGCCTTATACGGAACAGCTGAAGCGAGTGAATTAACTACCTCCGATCTCCCTTAACCTTCCTCCTCCCTTGATTTACCGGGAAATTGCAGGTCAGAAAGAAGCAATTAGTAAACTGCACAGAACCGGGGATATATGCAAACTCTTTCCGACCTCCATTAGACCTTAATCTTCCTTAATTTACCAGGAAATTGCAGGAGGCGAGACGAGGAAGAAGCAGTTGCAACTTAGAATCACTACACTCTACTCTGCATCTCCTTCTTCCACCTCAGCCTTTTGTCGTCACCCCTCCCACCTTCGTTTTAAGAATCCTTCCTCTATTTTGTCGCCGCATGCTCTGTTTTCAATATAACAAAGCATCACAGACGACGGAGGAACTAACCAACAACAACAGCTGCAGCTTTCATCAGAGCAGTCATCAAAAGGGAACCCACCAAACCCTTCTCTGGGGAAAGCTCAGCTATGGACTCCCCATCTTTCTCCAACAACATCATCACCGTCCTCTGCCTTTTCTTGCTCTGCAATCTCCCCTGTTTTCCTTCCTCCTCGGTAACCTTCCCCAAAGAAGCTCTCCCCACCAAGTCCGGATATCTCCCCGTCGACCCGGCAAAACCCGGCTCCGCCATCTTCTACACTTTCTACGAAGCCCAGCAACCGTCTTCCCCCTCACTCTCCACCACCCCGCTCGTCTTCTGGCTACAAGGCGGGCCCGGTTGCTCCTCCATGATCGGCAACTTCTTCGAGCTGGGTCCTTACCTCGTCACGCCTGAACTCGGCCTAACTAAGAACCCGGGTAGCTGGAATCGAATCTTCGGCCTCGTCTTCCTCGACAACCCAATCGGCACCGGATTCAGCACCGCAGCTTCTCCTCTCGACATCCCCAGGGACCAAAACGCCGTCGCGTCGCACCTATTCTCCGCCATCTCCGCCTTCCTCCGCGGGTTGGGTCCGGATTCCAAGACCCGCCCGCTTTACATCACCGGCGAAAGCTACGCAGGTAAGTACGTCCCGGCAATTGGGTCCTACATCGTCCGCCACAACGCCAATTTACCGGCTGCGGGAGGCTCAGATTCAGAATCGAGATTGAACCTAAAGGGGGTTGCGATAGGAGACGGGTTGACCGACCCGGTGACCCAAGTCCAGACCCATGCCCTAAACGCCTACTTCTCCGGCCTAATCAACGACCTCCAGAGGGAAGAAATGGAGCGAGCCCAGTCGGAGGCGGTTCGATTCGTTGGGATGGAGAAGTGGAAGGAAGCTACCGAGGCTAGGAACAGAGTATTGAACATGCTGCAGAACATGACGGGTCTCGCGACTCTGTACGATTTCACCAAGACGGAACCCTACAAGACGGAGCTGGTGGTGGCGCTGCTGGCGTCGCTGGAAGTCAAAGCCGCGCTGAACGCCGACACCTCGATCGTGTTCGAGGAGTGCGGCAAGGCGGCGGCGGCGGCGCTCCACGAGGACGTGATGAAGAGCACGAAAGGTATGGTGGAGGAGCTGCTGCTCTCGCCGCAGCCGCTAAGGGTGTTGCTGTACCAAGGGCAGCACGACATGAGGGACGGGGTGGTGTCGGTGGAGGCGTGGATGAAGACGATCCGGCGATGGGGAGGGTTGTCGGAGTTTCTGGCGGCGAGGAGAGAAGTTTGGAGAGTGGACGGGCTGCTTGCTGGGTATGTTCAGCGGTCGGAGACAGGGAGACTGACCCATGCGGTGGTTCTGGGAGCTGGACACCTTGTTCCGACGGATCAGCCGGTGAATGCTCAGGCGATGATGGAAGGGTGGATTCTGGAGACGGGGCCTTTTGCTGCTGGTAAAGGTCAACAGCAGCAGCGGGTGATTCCTGATCATTATAGGTGGCAATACTGATGAAATTCTATACTCAATCCATCCAATGTAGCCGCTATGATGAAATAAAATCTATTGACGTTACAACATAATGCTCAAATGTTGCTCCCTTCCTCAAATCCATGCTATCAAAATTGAAGGATAATGGCTTCAAAAATCGTTTAGAACAAGGCAACGACTACTAAATAAAGAGGGCAAATGAAGTAGAAGGGAAATGATTTGATTGATCAAGGGCTAGAAGAGTTGTAGTAATATAAATGCACAATATGTGCCTGCCAGCAACTGCCACCAGCCTATGCCGCTCAGAATACTAAAAATGGCTTCTTTACAACTCCCTTCTTTCCACCCCAAGGAATAATACAGACAGATCTATTTCACTACTCCTGCACCTGCTGCTTCTAAAATGGTTGGTCTGTCTGTCTGATACCCACTAACTATAAGTTTACCCCAAAGCAAGGATTGGGAAAGAAAAAGAAAAAACAAGAACAAAAATAAAACCACAACAGAATTGCTTGCTACCACTGCTGCCCTCTCTCCCTAACCAGCTTCCCAGAATTTATCAGCATCATCGCCTTCTAAAAGCTGCTGCAGCTCCACACCTGTTTGCATGAAGCATAATCCCCCCCCTACCATCGACGAATTAAACGAAACTGAGTAAAATCACAGCATTCTGCTTGCTTCCACTATAAGATAAGAGTTCTTATTCAACCCCTACAATGGACAACTTCCCCTCCATCTAACTTAATGAAAACCATAATAAACTCATCTGTGCTAACATCCTCGCTCTGTGTTTGTATTGTACATCACCTATGAGCACTCGTCGGCGGCATCGGATAAGCCATCCCACCCATGTTCATCGGTGCCCCAGGGACCACCGTCCCAGGCACCGGCGCTCTAACTCCATATGCCATGTGTGCTGGCGCAGGTAAATTCACGGGTGTCCCAACTGCCGATACCAATGGCCCTCCGATGGGCTGTCCTATTGTTGGAGGACCATAGATCCCTACCCCTGGAGGCCCCCCACCAGGGTGATGCTGAGACGGTTGTTTACCAGCTTTCCCTGAAGGCCCTACTCCGCCGCTGCCACCAGCAGGAGTGCCGTTTGCTTGCCCGGTTATCGGTCCTTGGGCTGCTGCAATCTCGCCATTGTTCACGCTCGTGATGTCATGAATGCTCGAGCGCCTTCTGTCCTTGTTTATCGAGTTTAGCCGGATGAAGTACTTCTGAGCATGGCTGGCCACTTGGGTAGGCGTCCTTGTTACCACGAAGTTCCGGGATATGCTTCTCCAGTCTCCTTTCCCATATTTTTCCAACCCGAGAAGGAATAACCTGTTGTCATAAGAGAGACGGATGTTCAGTAATAAACAGATGCCCCAGCTGCTTTGTTAAGTAAAAATCTTCACTGGCGTAGAGCATGCTCCTATATCTAGACAATGCTGTCATGATTTTAGCACAAGTTCTGATGGGGTTGACTATGTCTAAGCTCCAATACTACAAATTCTTACATGGGAAGTACAAATTCCAGCTGACCAACTCATGAAACTTTGTACTAGTAGGGTGGAAGTGCCAGAAACTGAATACACATCCCCATAAACAAGAAGAAATCTAAAACTACAACACAATGGCAAGTGTCAACATAACATGTGATTCTCACCCTTTCTGGATATTTTGGAAGAAGTGAAAGGAACAGATGAGCACCTTTCAAACAAGAAAGAAGCCCTTCATCAGTCATGATAGATGTAAAAGCACGAGACCTAATAACTTGGGTTTGAGATTGTTAAAGAAAACCATTATAAAGTTTTGTTCCAACAATGCAGCATGGTACAGCAAAGAATCCTACTTTCATCATTCTGATGGCTTATCTACAAGGAAGGACATTTTAATTTCTACAAAATCCTGTATAATGCAAGGCTTCTCCACCAAATTGATGCTGTATATGATAAAATGCAGACAGAAATCTGCACGTTTTTCTTGTACCATCACAAGGGTTTAGAAACTCCTAATCCTAGACAAATGACAAACTTTCAGTAGACTGTAAATCAAGACCAAAGAGTATATAGCCTTCATCGCCTCAGTAGTCCTATTTCTTCATCAATATGCTATATCACAGGCTAATTACTCAGCAAATACAAATTCTCGAGCTAACATATCCACAACAGTTCATAGCTATTATACAACATAGTGAACTCTAATCCTCAACCTAATTCGTCTAAGCTAATTTTGCAGAACACTGGGGTGAATGAAACAAACAGAACCAGACTTCTCATAAAATATCCGCTGAAGAAGACACATAATAGCAGAGAGAGAAACAATTAGGAACCAGAAAACATACCTATGCTCATCTTCTGTCCAAGCAATTCCCTTACGGCGTTCCTGATCTGACCTTGAACCCTTGTTCCCTTGACTGGACTCACTGTTGTTATGCCCTCCATGGCCACCTTTCTTCCCAGTTCCTTCATCACCAGCCTGGCTCGAACCCTCAGAGGAAGAATTATAGTTGGGTAAAGGCACACAACCAGATTCAATCTGTTCAACATCCTCGACCAGAATCTCGTAGTGATGCTTAACCTCTTCCAGTGTTTTCCCAGGGACTTCTGCAGCAATCTTCTCAAATCGATCCGCTTCATCCTCTGCATAAGTTGCCACAGCATTCTCAAATGCCTTATCTTGCTCAAAAGTCCACGAGGAGGAGCTGCTACCCACTTCATCCACAGTCATCTAGCTCTCTTCCGGAATCTCACAACCTCCAAGAACAAAAACCCTCCAAGATAAATCTTTTTCACGAAGCGGTGCAGTTTGGAACCTACCCACCCTAGCACAGCCCCGGTTCTTGATTTTCTAGAACAATTCTCAATAGTTGGATCTGGAAAATTCCTAAATTTGGGGCATCCAGCAAGAAAGTGGAGTGAGTGATGGCAGAATAACAATTGTATCGCAGAACAGAGGGTGTATGTCAGGCTGCTGCAGCAGTAAGCAAGAAGAGGATAGTAACAAACTCTCTCTCTCTCTCCCACCCAGAAAAGGCCAAGGGAAGATGAAGCAGGAGATAAGCTCCAATAAAAATCACACAAAGGAGGCAAGGGGCAAGGGCAGTGAAGAATTTCAATGGTGATTTGCTCCACAATTCAAAAAATTGGACTCTTGTGAATTGCTGACCTATTATGGAATGCAAAAGGCAACAGCAAAGTTGAAGTTAGACCATGAGAAATATCTGAAAACCATTAAACCAAAAGATGCAATAAATGGATTGTTCAAAGCATATGAATAAAGAAAAGAAAAGAAGAAAAATTCAAGAGGATAAAAAATATGCAACAATTAAATGCAACGGTGATTCTGATGGAGAATAGTAATTTTAGGGTTCTATGAGATGGTGAGAGATTTGAAAGAGACAATGGAAAGGAAGCAACCAAACAAAGGAAGGAAGAAAAACCCAGAAGCCTACAAACCCATCTCATAAATATCCATAATTCAAAAGGCAACCCAAAAAAGAAATCCCCATCTCTGATAGTTGATAACAACATTTTTGACAGCAGCAGAGGCCCACCGCCAAAAATTCACCATTCCCTTTCTTTCATTTCCTTGATGGAGGTTTCGTTTTCCACTTGCAATCATACAGCATGGCGTACAGTGCCCACCTCTTTTTTTGTTTTGTTTGCTTCTGGTGCTACTAGTCTTCTTCTTACAAAGACAGCGAATTTTACCCTAAATTACCGCAGCAGGAAAGCTACCAACGCAGAAGCACCCAATGCCCAAAAAGGGAAACAACCAAAACTTTGAGATGTAGCAATGGTGTGTAATTAATAACAGGGGAAGACAGAGTAATCCATGCATCACAAGTTCAATTCCCAGTCCAGAAAATTTGCAGGTGAAACCCCCAATTGAAGGAAGTGGCAAGTCAGAGAGCAGATTTAGGAGAGCCAGCTGTTGGCAGGTTGCAGACAAACATGCATTGTATATAGACATAGACAGGAACAAAACTCGGAACCCAGCCAAAAAGAAGGAAATTGAAGATCACTGGCTTGGGGTAATTGAAGAAGTTCATCTCCCCCTATGGAATTGGCAATTGGAAACGGAAGGAAGCTCAACAAGGGGAAAAAGAAATTTTACCTTATCTGAAAAACATATATTATTCTATAAGAGCGGGCACCATCAACACAATTGACACTTCAACTAACCACAACAGTGGACAAAAGGGCAAAACCCAGACCAGACCCAGCTAAGCAGTACAAGTGAAGGAAGGTGAAATGAAAGAAGAAGGCCGGTGAGAGGAAAAAAACTTACCTTTTTTTCTGGGTTTTCCCCTTTATAGAGTCACAGTGAAAACTGAAACCTCACTCTGCCCCCTCTCTGGCGGTGAAGAATTGGGGATACTTACGGGGGGAAAGATAAACCCTAACCCAGACCAGAGGAGATTTTGCGTACGGAATCACTCCATTTCTTTCTCCAGCACCCAGTAGGCAACCGGATTCTGCTGATTTTGTTTTCTTATTATTCTGATTATGGATTCGGATAGAGAGTAAGCCGTAAGCTAGTAGGGAAGATGGCGATACTCAAGGTGAATGGAGAACAATGGATTTTACGGACCCGATTCCTTCTCTTCCGATTTACAGATTTGCAAGAGACCGCGCAGGGAGACCAACCAGATAGATAAACCCCTTACCGACGGAAAATGACTGTTTAGTTGTTAATTCTCTCCTTTTATCATCACTGCTGTAAAATGGAAAATGAAGAGAGTAGAAACTAGAAACACTTTACACTTCAAAAGGTTTTTTTTTTTAAAATGAAATATAGATTTCTAGGAAAATGGATAAAATTTCCAAATGTGAAAGAAAGATTCTGGATGATACAACAAACGCGGAAGTAAATATTATATAATAAAAATCTTATCCAGGAAATCATAAAATGGTGAAGGCAAATATTTTTAAGTTCGTTGTATCTCGATTATAAAACTATTATATTTTGTAAGTTGTAACTCCACCCGTGCAAATTTAAAGGAAAGGACAGGTTCAAGGAATTTTTCTTTCTTTTTGTTTTGCTTGGGTGTGCAGCAGCTTGAAATCATACGGTGTCGGATTAAATCGAAATAGGATTTGATTGAAAATGAAAGAAATTTGAAAAACATAAATCATAATCAAATTATAAGTGTGTTTATTTGAGACTTTAGTTCGTTTTGCTTTTTTTTTTTAGTCGTGAAGAGGTTTGTGAGATTTAAATTGAAAAATCATTCATATTTCGATCTAAATGTTGATTTGAATCGGTTTGATCTAGTATGTACCAAATTGGTGTGCACTCCTAAGTACAATTAATAATCAAGTTAATTAGTGTGACGATATGCTATGCTAACTATTATAATACAACCAACCAACGTATTCAAATTTCAAAGTTCATCTTTCACAATTATAGTGGCTAGATGGCCAATGATGCATGAATCAACCAACTAGTATTTTGGTTTTAAAATATGAAATACGAAGGGAAGGGAAAGCGATTCCTACCGAAAAATAGATGACCCTTATCAGACATCGTATATTTTCAAAACTCCTCAAATTACGAGAATCGGACCGGATCATTACGGTTCACATTTTGGCATAAACCACAATTATATAATTGGAATACGGTGTGCCGTAACATCAACAGACCCATTTTTTGAGAAGCATTTCGAGTTAAGTCCTTTTTTTTATATAATTATCACTCCTTCGAACAAATCTGCAAACCATGTAATTCGTGTTTTTTATTTCTCGGATTATGGGTTTTACTTACCCTTTTACTACACCATGCCTTCATGTACATACGTGTATAGTATACACAAGGTAAACTGCATTGTACCTTGCTCTCCGAATGATTTTGTGGGAGTTTGGTACGTTAGATGTATTTTGAGTTTTGACTAATCGAAGTCATCAACAATCTTGTTTTCTGAATGAAATTGCTGTTAAATTCTTACTGTCCAATTATTAATTCATTATTTTATCATTAATTAATTATATTAATTATGATGATATGACAACACAACAGAAAAGCCCCCAGAAAAAAAACCAGGGGCCGGCCGTTGAGGCGGCACCGCCGGATTGAATAGTACTCGCAAAATAAATAAATAAAAACAGCTCTGCGTGCATGCATGAATCAAATTGCAGTCAGAAAAATTAAATTAAACCAACTATTAAAAAAAAAATCAATTTTCATAATGAAAAGTCGTGAAAGAAAGATGTAAACCTTTTCTATGATTGGTTGGTATGGTCAAGCCGCTAGCCTAGCTTGCTGCTGCTGCCGCCTGTGTTCTTCATCTCTTCTTTCTGGGGAACAGACGAGACGATTAAGAAATGAAGAAGAGGTGCACAGACCAGACAGCAGGGCCATGCAATTTATAATGGGATTCCGGGGAGCAATTTTTGGCAAGCAATACCGCGGAATATTTTAATCCACGTCACCTCATGATTAGGCTGCCAAATTCATTGTTTAAGAAAAATGGAATGTTCGGTTTTGTTTCTTCTTTATTCTTCTTCTTATTTTTGTACGTGTGAATGAATATCCGGATTAGTGTTACCATACGTATGGCCTCTCGACGCGGTGCGATAGATATATATATGGAAGGTGGATTAATTACTTACTAGCAAATTGGATTTTTTTTTTTTTCCTTCTTTCTTTCTTCTCGAGTCATGGTATGTAATCTATGGGGTGTATTGAAGACTAGATTGCGTTCGCACTTGGTGTTGTTTTGCGTGGATTGAGTTAGACGATGCTGAAGATGCGTCGAATGAGTTACACATTAGAGGTTTAGTTTCATGGTTCGTAGTTATGAGATAGAATTTCACGGGAGAAAATGCGTTGTTGTAAGATGGGTTGTATTTTTTTTCGATCGCTAGCTCTTATTATTGGCTCGAGTTAAATGAGGTTGTGTACCGATGCTACATGTACGATCGATTTTGACCTCTACGTTAATTGACGATCGATTTTGGACATGTATAGCAAATGCTATATTAGTTTTGTTTAAATAGACGGCACGCCTTTTTCAGAAAAAAGAAAAATAACGAATGACAGAAGACTAAGTACTCTGTAAAACGATCGATTATTGCTTTTCTATACAATTTCTTATCCTTCCTTTTTTTTTTGGTTACGAGTTTCATTGACTTAAAAGTATTGGTTCGGCTTTGTTCCTAACTTAGAAGACAATATTATTGCAATTGAGACCGTATTTCATCGACCACTCTTAGCTCGTGTTAGTTAGATTATGTACTGATGTTATACGATCGATTTTGATATAACATTATAAATATATACATCAAATGCTATATGATTTTTGTTTTAAAACAAAATGTTTTATGCGGGAGTAGAGATCAGGTGCCAACGAAGGTGTGTTTTGGCACTTCCGAAATAGGGGCACATGCGATCGATTTTGATTCGTATAGCTAATGTTGTAAGTTTTTTGTTTTAATAGATGACACGCTTTTTTGAAGAAAAAAGTTAAAGGATAACCGACTAAGTACTCTCTGCATGTAAACAGTCGATTATTGCTTTTTTATACATTTTCTTATCCTTCCTTTTTTTTTACGAGCTTCATTGACTTAAAGTATTCGTCTTGATTCGTTCCTAACTTAATTAGAAGACAAACCGGAAAAGGAGGGTATTTGGTTGTAATTAAGATCATGTCTCATCGATCACTCTTAGTTTATTTTTAGTCATGATATATAATTACTGGGCAGCTGCCAACGAAGGAGTAGAGATTAGGTGCCAACGAATGTGTGTTTTGGCACTTTCAAAATAGGGGGTACACGTGCAATCGATTTTAATCCGTATAGCTAACGTTGTGAGTTTTTTGCTTTAATATATGACACTCTTTTTTGAAGAAAAAAGTTAAATGATAACAGACTAAGTACTATTTGTATGTAAAAGATCGATTGTTCCTTTTCTATACTTTTTCTTGTCCTTTCTTTTTTTATACGTGTTGCATTGACTTAAAAAAATTCCTCTTGATTCGTTCATAACTTAGAAGACAAATCAGAAAATAAGGGAATTTGGTTGTAATCAAGATCGTGCCTCATCGATCACTCTTAGGTTTTTTAGTCATGATATATAATCAATAGGCAAGAGCCAACGAAGGAGTAGAGATCAAGTGCCGACAAAGGTGTGTTTTGGCACTTCCGAAATAGGGGTACACCGTACACGTGCGATTGATTTTGATATGTATAGCTGACGTTGTAAGTTTTTTGTTTTAATAGATGACACACTTTTTTGACAAAAATAGTAAAAGGATAACAGAATAAGTACTCTTTGTACATAAACGATCGATTGTTCATTTTCTATACTTTTTCTTATCCTTCCTTTTTTATACGAGTTGCATTGACTTAAAGAATTCGTCTTGATTCGCTCCTACCTTAGAAGACAAACCAGAAAAGGAGGGAGTTTGGTTGTAATTAAGATCGTATCTCATCGATCACTCTTAGTTTCTTTAGTCATGATATATAATCAATGGGCATATTAAAGAATAGATTGCGTTCTCACGTGGTGTTGTTTACGTGGTTTGAGTTTGACGGTATTGAAGATGCAACATCGAATGAGTTAACGCATTAGGGTTTTAAATTCATGATCCATAATAATTAGATAAGCTCGAGAAAGAGGATGTGATTGCAAGATCGATCATTTTTATCGATCACTCTCATTGTTGGCTCTAGATGATGAGATTATGTTCTTATGCTACATGTACGATCGATTTTGACCTATTTGTAAATTTACGATCGATTTTGACATGCATAGCAAATTCTATAAGAATTTTGCTTTAATAGATGACATACTTTTTGGAAGAAAAAAACTGAAGGATGACATACTAAGTACTCTCTAGAAACGTCCTATTATTCTTTTTTCATACATTTTCTTATCATTCCTTTTTTATATGAGTTGTATTGACTTAAAGTATTGATTTACATTTGTTCATAACTTAAAAGACAAATCGGAAAAAGTAGTGAATTTGGTTGCAATTAAAACCGAATCTCGCCGATCACTCTTAGTGCTGGCTCGTGTTAGTTAAATTATGTATTGGTGTAATACGATCGATCGTTATCTATATATTGTAGATCCATACATCAACTGTTATACGATTTCTATTTTAATATATGGCACGCTCTCATTGGAAAAAAATCCAAATGTTATACGAGTTGCATTGAATTAAAGTATCAGTTTATATTCAATCATAATTTAGAAGACAAACTTGAAATGGAGCGAATTCGGTTGCAATTAAGATCGTATCTCATCGATCACTCTTAATGTCTGCTACGATTAGTTAGATTGTATACCAATGTTATACAATCGATATTGATCTATATATTATAAAATTTATACACAAATGCTATACGACTTTTGTTCAATATATGACACGCTTTCTTTTATAAAAACTAAAATCAAGATGAAAGACTATGATTTCTATAGAAATAAAGATCAAGTGACAAAAGAAGGTGTGTTTTGGTAGCTTCTGGAATAAGGGTATAATCGGAAAATAAAAGGTTTATCATAAATATTAAAATAATAAATCAAACGCTACATGTCTATATTCCTTCTCTGTATAGTCCACCGACACTCTCCTTTCCATAGTTGGCACATTGGTGAAATGTCGGTCAGTTTAACTTGGTTCAATTAGTTTCCGTCACGAAACTAACATGATCACATGAATAC